AGCTCCAAATCGGACCCTGCAGCAGTCGTTAGTCACTACGGCCATTACGACTACTACTACACTATGATTATGAGGATTACTGCCACTACTACTACTACTACTACTACTACTACTACTACTACTATGACTACGATTACTGATGCTGTACTACTACGCCTCACTGCTGAAGTTACTGCACTACTGTACCTTACGACGTACAGCCTAAGAGCCTATTTCCCTCGGCTGTGCAGGGACACACCACCCCGACACCCTTCTGAAAAGCCTATCTGGGCGGCCCCCACAAAATCAGCAAGTACCGTATTATGACTATTGATGCTTGGGTTTTCGTGTGAACATGCGTCGAAAGGTCCTAGTGGCGTTCATAGTTCGAAAGATCTCTGAGGTGAAGACTTCTGCTGCGAGCATAAGGAATGCTGGGGATGCGTTCAGAACCACAGCAGTGGCCCGGCGCTGTTTAGTGTTCGGAGTGGCCCTGCAAGCTCATTCGGGAACAAGGTGTGCAATCGGTCTGCACGTGTCAAGCTGCAGAGCTGAGTTATTCAGCCTTTGTGCAGCACGTTGCTTGATCTAGCCGATTAGCAACTCCGGAGACTTCGAGAAGATGTTGCGCTTGCAACACCATCTTTCACTCCACTTCCTTTAAAACCAACTCGATAGATCAAACCATTGAAGCAAAGATGTCCATACTGCCGCGCTGTGCACATGAGGCAGTCTCTGTCCAAGCTTCAGGTTGGACTGCGCTCCCCTCCTGCTTCTCGCTCCGTGGTCTCTGCTCCAGCTCACAGAAGCTACCTGGCCTGCTTGCCATGTATGTGCGGGTATCTCTTTCGTGCCTGTGTTCGAGATACGGACATGGCAGGGATGTAGTACTGATGGGCAACACCGACATGTATGTAGCTTAATAGATGCATGGATGGGCGGATTGGTATACATTCAGCTGTATACATAAATGTGTGTATATCTATACACATACACATGCATGTATGTCTGTATGTATGTCTGTATGTATGTATGTATGCATGTATGTATGTATGGTGTAGTGTAGTGTAGTGTAGTGTAGTGTAGTGTAGTGTAGTGTAGTGTAGTGTAGTGTAGTGTAGTGTAGTGTAGTGTAGCGTAGTGTAATGTAGTGTAACTTAGTGTGGTGTAGTTTTGTGTAGTGTAATGTAATGCAGAGCAATGCAATGAAAGCATGTATGCATGTGTGTGTATATATATACATGTGTCTGAGTGTGTGTGTGTGTACATGTAAAAATGCAGGTTGTATACACTTGTGCAACACATACGTCTGCGCATTATCATGTGTATGCATGTGTATGTGTGTGCGGATATGTAGATGCATCTGCATCTGCATTATAGGTTACATAGGTATGGGGATATATATATATATATATATCCATACACACATACATGTATGTGTATGTATGTACATATACAAAGTATGTACGGATGGCTATGCTTGATACGGTTTTGTGTATGATCACACGGACGCAAAACACAGACACACACACACACACACAAACACGGACGCACAGACAAAGACACGCTGGTCGATCCACGTACGATCGTCGTTGGTTACGGACCGGGACTATGACTGATGTGAACGACTGTTCAATGGATTCGCCGGGGCATAAGAATTTGAAGTTGTTGTGCGATCCGGAGAGAGACTTTGGGGGCATTCGGATTCAGGGCGTTCAATCATGACGAAACAACCATCCGAAACCCTGAACAGCTCTACAGTGACTCTACAGCCTTCTGAACCCCAACTCCCGACTTTGAACCGCTGCTCCCCAGCAGCCAGAAGTCCAGAAGCAGTTCTAGCTGCTACTAGCTGCAACATTTTTTTTGATCACGGCAGGCTTCCCTCAAGTCCATGGGGCTACTGGCTGGAGTTTGGTGCCCAAGCTTTGTTAGCTATTAACTGATGGCAGAGGTTCTGTCAGCCATAAATGTCGAACGGCTGGTTCTGTAGCAGCAGCTGCTGATGCTGCTGCTGCCGCGATGCTCCTGCTCATGTTCTTTTACTATCGGTCCTCCTACTACGACTGGTGTGCCAGCTGCTACTACACCAACCCCGCCAATGCCTGAAGACATCTAAATGAGTGTGCATACGTATTGACAACGAACTTGGAGGCGTATGGATGCCTTCCACAGCATCAAGAAGAGTACCATGTCGAGTCACAGGAATCGCGAGGTGCTGAGAAGCCCGGCCTCGGGTGACTTGCACAGCAGCCGTCGTCGCACACAAGTCTTACAGCAGGCATCAGGTTGTCACAGTGTCGATGACAGACTTCCTGCAACCGCAAGCCTAAGACCAAATAATTATGCATAACCCAGAAAACAACGACCTGCGTCATGGTCACAACCGACGATCCCTTTTGAAATAACAACACACGTGGTGTCGAGGTTAGACTCGGTTAATTAGACAGAAATACTGCTACTCCGACGACGGGGACTTCTACCTGCAGTACTACGCATTACTGGCGGTTTTCGTTGTCGTATCAGTAAGCACTGGAACAGGAAGCGCAATCACGGTAGCTTGTTTCGTCCTCAGAAAAGTGCGTCTTCGCACTCAGCCATTTTATTCCAGGCGTCTTTTTCGGCGCTACGCTGCGAAGCACCGCCATCCACCTGATGCGGACAGGCAGCCGACGGCGAAGAGAAAGACAGGCACGCGGCCCCCAAAAGTGCGAGGATCTTGGAACCCCGGGACTCAAGAGATGTCCTGAGTCCAGGCCGAGGTTCTAAGATTCTTGGACTTTTGGGGGCCGCGTGATTTAGGGTGTTTCAGGATTTGAGGTCCACTTCTTGGGATTTCTGGAGATTCATGTGGTCGGTTCCGCATGCCTGCAGAGTTCACGACTTGTTCCAGCATGCGAGCCTCTGCAGACATGTGACACGTCGTACCACTGATGCTCAACCTCGTTTTGGGCATGTCGCCCCTTGCAAGCAGAAGCCTCAAAGGCTTTGCACATCATCCGGTGTACGGCTTCGACTCCTTCCGGGGTCTCGATGAGGACTGGGGCAGGCATGGCACAAAGGGGGATGGGTAGAGAGACAGAGAGAGACAGAGAGAGACAGAGATATCGGTGTTGGAATCTTGAGGTAAAAGTGGTCTGGCGGAGTGGATTTCGGGCAGTTCAGCATGCACTCAACAATCACATCTGCAAATGTCAAGTGTCCAAGATATCGCAGATTCGGAAGCAGCCACGTCGAGCATACCCTGACTTTATATTGTCAGAATTACTGTTTCACGCAAGCTGGGATGTGTGACAAAACTTCCTACTATGCTTGCCCGCCTCATGTTTATGTAACACTGAAGTGCCGCGAAGAAGGCCACTCCACTCGTTTGGTCATGACATTCTGTTCAGGTTCGACCGCTTCGAGTTCAGCACCTCTGGGAGAGTTCCAAAATACCTCCCTCCGAATGCAAAGCTGGTAGTCGGGTGGTACAACAAGACATTGCCCGCCTTCATCCGGAGCCACCTCCTCGGCGGCGGGAAGGAAGCTTGGCTGGCGCTTTTAAAGTCTAGCTCACAAGTTCTGGAAGCATCATATCCATGAAACATGCCCCACTAAGATAACTCGTCCTGAAGCTTGAAGCTAAATTATGCTGTCCTACAGAATTCATGCTCCTAAGTAGAGTCCGGGACGGTCAAGCTAAGCCACTTACAAAGCATCTGTCCGATTTACACGATGCCCAACGCTGCTATACCAATCACCCATAAGTGACTCATGAACCTTGAGTCGTACCCCCGAATGTTCTTATAAGCGAAATCCAATGCCCCACAGCCGGAACCGGACCCCAGAAGAGACAAACATGAGGTCCAGTGGCTCCACCTCGATTGTGACACCTACGCTGGCCACCGGCTGGTCCTTTCGCTGCTGTCGCCCTTCCTCCTGCCCGGCTCTGTGCAGCTTGGGTGCAGCTTTCGAGAATCGACGGCAGACCAAGATGAGGTAAATCCTCAGGTTGATACTGCTATGGCAGTGGCACTCGTAATGTATTCGTATGCAGCAGGCAAGAGTTTCCATAATGCTCAGTTCTCTGTCCACCGTAGTCATGAAGAAGGCAATCCGCACCACAGGCGTGTACGGCAAGTTGCAGTATACTGCCAGCGCTAGGATAGTCCTGTCTTTACTGCTATCACTTTGGACGCTACCTCCATCCCTCAAGCATATCGGTGTCGCAGAGCACCAGCGCGGTCCCATAGACGACATGTCCTCGTCTCAATCCGAGGCTAATCTTCGACGACATTCTCAACTACGCCGGCTACGAGGGCTATGCGCTGCAGGCCTTCTACGAGTTCATTCAGGCCAGAAGCGGGACGGGCTTCCACTTCTCGACTCCAGTTCCAGAGCCCCCGGTATCAGCAGACACAATACGGCATTTTTGAGAGTTTGCACATTCCCCCTGTACTTCCGCCCTGTCTTGACTTGAGTCGTCGATTTCAGGATCAGAGCCCTGAGATCTCAAGCCAATCCCTCTAACCACAGATAGTGCAGAGTCCTAGAGTTTCAGGAGTTAGGAGCGAAGCACGATCCAAAACAACTTGCTAGCATTCGCATGGCCCTATACCTACACACCCCCCCCCCCCCCCCCCACGAGTGCGCGTGATTCTTCGGACCCCAATGTCATTGGTGCTATTTTGCTAAGGGCCCAGCTATAAGATTCCGGACTTTACCAAGGGGCTTTCTGGGAACTTATGGGATCTTAGGGCAATTCTTTGCATCCTTCCCTCCTTCAGATCGCGCCCATTACTACGCGTGTTTTGCTGAGCATTGTAGCCACCATACCCAGCTCAAATCCGAAACCTGAGCTTGACATAAACTCAATTCAGGCTCCACCGGTAGTTTAAGGCTAAAGCCACCATAGTCCTGAACAGCATTCTATAATCTTGATGTTCTGCAATTAGCGGCTATAGTGATCATCAGCCTTACCATCACCACTGCCTCCAACGACAACATCAAAGGCCAGCATGAGGCTCAACATCCTCAAGTGCTGCGCATTCTGATGCTTCTGTCTGTTCCCAAGGGCTCCTATGTAGTTCCTTTTTGGATAGTATACCATAATTCCTTACCAACAAACCATAACAGACCCAAAAAGGAAGTACATTGGAGCCCCTGGGTTCCTTCCAAGAATGCCGAGGAGACCGGCTGGAGTTTCGAAGTCCTTGTGGCGCCCTGGCGAGTGGAATGGTCCATTTCCACAAAGACACCGCACCTTGGCGTTGCAGGATGTACTGAAGGGGGTTTAGTAATAATTAGAATAGGGTTTTGGGGGCTCCTTATTATAATTCTGGTATAGTATATTCCAAACCCTATTCCAATTATTAACGCCCCTATAGTATATGTACTCATTCACATGCGAGACTCGTTTCATTGCTCTGTCTGTAGATCGCTGTGGTCGTCGCAGTGGAAACAGGGGAGTGCGACTTGTGGATTCATGGCATTGTTTGGGTGGATGCAGGAAATGCAGCCGTGTTCCATGCTAATGTTGCAGCAGCGGTCATCATTGAAGTCATTCGATGCTACGATGTTCCCAACCAGCTCTCCAATCCCGTCCTTCTTCCACCGTGTTCCACATACCACATACTACATCCCCAGGTCCGCACGCAGCTCCCTTCCCTGGTGGCTGTCGCGGATGCGTGCTTGGGTCGAACATAGCGGGGTTCCGGGATTGGGTGTCGGCAACAGAGCTGGCAAAGATCTCAGAAAGCAACGCAATCTAAGGGACATCTTCACAGGTAGGGTTTCGGAATATTTCGGATGTCGTCTAGACGAACTTCACAAGAAAAGTTTACGGGGTTTGGTTGGCTTACCGATCGATTTGGGAGGATGGTGTGACATGGTGTAAGAAATACTGCATCACGCTTAAATCGGTTTCGGGGTTCAGAGGCTCCTGCAGATGTCCGGGAGGGTTGGCGAGTCATGCTGCGCTGCTTCAGGTTGCATACCACGGGGCTTTGCAGCAGACTGCCAATATTCGATTTTGTGCTGTAAGCAGAACATGTGTGACAACAGCCGCAAATGGCTGTAGTCCAGGAGCCATCGCCGTGCGACTGCTGTCCCAGCGGAACGGCGCGCATCTGGAGAGAAAATGGCAGCAGGCTTGCTGTAGCCGGAGTTGCAATTCCCCAGTGAAAATTCGCAAGGTCTGTCCGAAGTCCAAGTTTCGCCGTTCCCGTGAATGAACTGTAATTATCAAACACATGTCGTGTTGACTTGTCCATACAATCGTCTGCAGCCTTGGGCGGTCTGACGAGCGGCCGGTGCTTCGGATCTACGTAGCATTCGGAGTAAACTGAGGGAATTGCTGGAAAAGCACGGCCCCTCAAATTAAAAGCAGAAGTGAAGGGCAAGCAGGATTAGAAATTTTAGCATGCACTTGCTTTCTTCAGCCTGGCAGGAGCCCCGTGTTCAGCCGGTTTTCTGAACCTGGATGGCCGTAGAGACCTATAAATGTATGCATCAGAATCCGTAGCGTAGCAGACCCCTCCTGGAATTTGGATCCGAAAGAAACATCACGCGGTGTCATTCTATCTTCTATCATCTCATACAAGTGAACTAGTCAGCTCGTGCGACCTTCATGTCCTATGTTTGGAATAGGGCATTCTGCCTGCAGCAAAGACAGGACCCTAAACCCCTAAACCCTATAAGCCCTGGATCGAGCGAACATGCCCCCTGCATTGCCAAGGCCATGGTCCCTTTGATTGCCAGGGGCGCGGTAGCAAAGCCACAGGCCGTCTCAACCTTTGCCTGAGCTGTGCGAGCGAGCCCGGGGCAAGACTTGGGTGCTTCGGAATTTGGCAGCTACATGTTCTGCCTCTCTTCCTAGTGAACGGAAACACGAAGCTCGTTGTTTTTCTCCATTCTTCGGGCTCTACGGTGGACGTGAATCTGAAGCCTTCATCCGGAACCAACTCTTGTCGGAAAGGCTCGCGCTGCCACGACGAATGCGAGGGAAGGCCTGCGGTTGAAGTGATCGTCGGGAAGGGCCTGGGTTGGTGGAGCCAAAGCAAAGCATACTGGAGGTATCTGAAGACAGAAGGAAAGCCAAACGCAGCAAGTACTCCTTGTTGATGATCTAAGAAGCCCGAGTTATCCCTGGCTAGCCTCGCAGATTCAGTACACCCTGCAGTTCTTGTTTGAATCGAGGCCAGCCTGTGCCCCGTTAACATTGTAACATGGCGTGGACTCTGTCCGAGGGCCATGCCGCTTCTTCTCTCAGGGTGGGGATGATGCCTACTCGGATCATGTGGCACACCAAAGCACGCACCGTTTGGTAAAGACTTGCATCTGTTGCGTGGGCTTCCAAGGGCGTGCAGCACCTTGTGCCAGCCATGGCTTCGTCCTCGCAGAACACGGGCTCTGGAACGAGATTGGGTCGAAGAGTACGTGCTTGCCTCCTGAGTGGCGAGCTACTGGAGGTGGAGTTATCACCGGGGTCCGGTGCGGAGGAAGTTAGGAGCCAAGTCGCTCAGCGGCTAGGGCTCCATCGATTTGAGGTGGCGCTGCTGCAGGATGGGAAGAAGCTGCAGGATTGCGACCATGTCCTGGGAGACGTGTCGGTGCTGGTGCAGCCTTTTTTGTCTCAGGATGTTATTGATGAGCTGATTCACAACATGAGGGCAGCCGGTGTTGCCTTCTCTGAAGGGATGACGGACGAAGAGGTCCGTCAAGCCGAGGAGAATTGCAAGATCCGCTTCCCGCCAGACCTGAAGCTGTTCCTGCAGACTGCCATGCCAGAGGGGCCCGAGTTTCCGAACCATGACAGAAGAAAATCTTAAAAATATTAAATCGTACTGGATCGTGGGTTAATTTTTGCTATATATATATATATATATATAGGGTTTTCGCTGCATGATGTTCAGCAGCCCTCATGGTCCAGCTTCTCATCGCCACCCTTGGTGCCTGGAGTTGCGGCTTATGCTTCAGCTAGATTGTGCAATCAGCGCACCCGAAGGCTGTTAAGGCCCTTCGAAGCTATTTAAGCCTTCAGTTTGACCCAGGAACTGGCGCCGAACGGTTGCAGTCAGTGTGCACGACCATCACGCCGTGATGCGGGATGACATCCATTCAAGACTGGGAGGTGTACAGAGCTTCTGGTACACAGCTCCTTGGCTCATTGGTCGGTATACTGTATTACCAGCTCCAACTTTGAACCGTAACACGCTGTTGCTGGCAGCCTTGAGACCTTATCCGAAACCGTTGCTCCAAGGAGTGGGGGCCTCGGCCGGAGGACAGAACTGAGCGTGCTTCGCTTACTGCGAGGCATCTGCATCTTGCCCACAAACAGATCCAGGCAAACTAGATTGACATTGACCAAACGTGAAGCCCGTGTCCGTTGACCTTGGGTTACCTGTAATAGAAACGCCGATACATCTTTCATGCTTGCAAGCTTTGAGGAAAGGGGTGCCGCGGCTCATTCCCGTCTACCGCCACCACTTTGTCGTGAGCGGCACGCCTGCTGGTCAGCCGGTGCTGGGCGTCGCCGATCCATGCAGAGCCTTAAATTGCAAAGAGCCGAGGCTTCAGACGGGGCCCTTTGGGACTGTAAGATGTTATTTAGAAGATAGAATAAGTACTTCGGCTCTTGCCGGTAACTCATAGGTTTCCTGATCTATGATGAAGGACAGTCTATGGTTGCATGGAGCAGAGTTATTGGTTTGAGCAGCTTATGCAAAAAAGTCCTTGCATTCCCCCTGCTCGCTCGCGCCTACTCGAGTCAAGGAATGTGTCTCCTGGCTACCGACCTGGCTGCATACTTCTCATTGATCTTCAACTTCCGGCCAGTGCGCCCGTACTTGAACTGCCCGGTGGTGACTGCAACCTTCTGGGGTGAGATCGAGAAGCATCTGTTCCACCATCAGACCGTGATGAGCGGACTATGGGGATAAGCAGAGAGACGCCCAAAAAGCGTGTGCGTGCTTTCTGGCTCTCAAGAGCAAGTGGCAAGGGCTGCTAGAATTTAAGATCTTGATTGTTTAGAAGTGTGCGGGCTTAAGACTGAAGCACGAATTGGTGCAATCTCTTCCAGATAGGATATTGCCTGCTCCCAAACACAAGGGCTGTCAACGCCAGTTGCCTGACTCCGGGTGTTTGCCTCGCATCTGCAGGAGCTGAACACTTTAGTATCCGACATCCAGAATTGCGGTAAGAGGCCGAAAGAACAGGCCTCATGCCGGAGCTGCAGAACCGAGCTTGTCCTGTCTCCCATGCCAGAATCGACAGCCCGAAGAACTCTAACCTAGTATGCGGCATGCGAGCTCCATCTTGCCAATATAGGGGTCCCTTTTCCTATAAGTCAGACCCCATTCCAAGGGCTGCTTTCTTCCCTCGACGGACCCCTTTCAGACTCTCGCTCCGACAAAGTCCAAACCCTGCAGCACCAGGG